TCATTTCGTTTTTTTAAAGCAAATGGTAAAAATTAATGAGCTTTATAAGCAAGAGTGCCAGAATCAGCAAATAAAAATACAGGATACCTAAATAAATTTAAATGTCAGCTAAGCAACAAACAATGTTTTCATATAAATATATCTACAGTGGTTGAATGTTGGTGTCCCTCAAATTCATATTCTGGAAGTTCATTCTCAAAGTGACAATATTAACAATTTGGGCCTTCTGGGAAATGACAAAACACAGAGGCTCTGCTGTCAGGAGTAGAATTAGGGCCTTTTAAAGAAGGAGAAAGAGCTGGGCGTGGTGGCGCACCCCTTTAATCCCCGCGCTCAGACAGAGGCAGGTGGATTTCTGTGAGTTCAAGACCAGCCTGGTCTATATATCGAGTTCCAGGCCAGATGGGGCTACATGGAGCCCCTGTCTCAAAAAGACCAAGAAAGCAGAAGGCAGCTCCCTTGACTCTTCTGGCACATGAGCACGTCTATGAATTCTGGCCTCATTTTGCACAATCCCCATCTACATCTATGGCCTCACTGTCCTGCCACCTGACCTGACTTCCTCCAGTAGATTAACTCTTTTCATTCTTTAGATCTCAGCTCCATTTTCTCTCTCTGGAGAAACCCCCAAACCTCTGTGGTGATGTTAAAATAATCCCACTAGAGTGACCTGTCATTAAAATATTCCTTCTGTTCATATCCTTCCATTCTTCGAGTATATCTCTGTCCTTTCCCACTAGCTCCTCCTATGAGCTTTACCAGAGAAGTTATCGTTAGGTCAGCCTTTGCCAACTACAGTGTGTGATTTTTCTGAGGATTTCCAGCAGACATTCAATAACTATTAAAGAGACCAGCCATTTAGAAAGTTCATCTGTGGAGTCCTGCTATGCAGTCCAGTACTAGTTTAAGTGCCCCTGAAGGTCTCTAAGGTGAACACCTAACCTGCTTGGAGGAGTATGACAAACATCTGGCCCCAACCATGATACCATTAGCTGGAGTATCTAGTTCCAAAGTCTCCACATGAACACACTCTCCAGGAAAGTATGACACACATGACTATTTAAGAAACACTGGTCTAGTCTGCTAGTCTGAGGTTCTAATTCACAGGATTTTCAAAAAGTGGTGAAGGATAAGGGAAAACTTTGGTTTCATTTGTCATAAATTTCATTGAATTCTTACTTGTCAGGGGCCTGGAGGCTGTCAGAAGGCTGAAACCTGTCACTACAGTTTCTGGTGTTAATTCACCTGTGTTACACGCTGTCTACTGGGGTGATGTACACACTGTGCTCAGCAGAAACCATTTAAGATGTCATGCCAAGTGATCTATCCACTTTATCCTACCCTAAAACTTGCATTTTTCCAATTTAGTCTCTAAAGTTATTTCAACTCATGAAACCTAACATTTTTATTAAAATTTCAAGTTTTGAAAATTGCTTAATTAGAAACTAGGCTACACATTCTCTTAATGGCCCAAGACAAAATTGAACGGACCATATTCTCTACAAAAAGAGTTCCACGTAAAATTCAACAAGATAGTGAGAAAACACTTATATTCTACCTATAAGCAAAATACAAATTTAAAATATAACATCACATATATCTATTTCCTGGAGTAAACGAATTTTAGAACTAAAAAAGACCAAACCACAATTCAGCCCAGTCTATTTCATGTTGTTTAATTCTCCCGATAGGGAGGCCATCATGATATGCAGTGACTACTAACTGGCCCTCGTTGAAAAGGGAGTGTTTCTAATAAAAATCAAATGGTGTTTTCATATACCATTAAGACATTTCCAGCCAGGATTAAAACAGTAATCTCATCCCATTATTATTTACAGCTGTCTCAAGGAAAGACCCTCCTAACTAAATCTGCTGCAATGTTTTACACTGGTTGCTCAACTGGGAAGAGGTTTTTAGAAAGCAAAGAAGATACAAAAACAATGCAGTGATCTATCAAAAGTATATATACTGGGGAGTGGTGCCTTTCCTAGGCTTACAAACAGACCCAACCTATAGGATGACTTTAAACAGTGATAGATACTCTGTGAACCTGTGTCAGACAGAAAGCACAGCAATCAGGAACCACTGGCAGATTGTAGCTTTTCCCTTGATGCCACCACATAGACTCTAAAGGATTTTTTCACTTTCACTGTTCCCAAAAATAGTATCGTTACTAATGAACAAGAGTGAGCTGGTCAGGAAGACACATTGACAAATCAGATAAAACATGTCAGCAACAAATATATTTCAGAATAAGAGCCCATATTCCTAATCATAAAAAAACAGATTTTCTGGTACCCATGATCATGTAATACAAGGTACATTATGACATCTTTTTGTAATCTCCTTGAGGCTAGGAATTGTATCTTATCACTGAGGCATTGTCCATATTTAGGGAATGTGATGGGGTAATAGTAAGTAGAAATTTTACCTAAAAGCTCTTAGACCAATCTGTTGGTCAGATGAGAGAAGTGACATTCACTGTTGCTGGGCCATGAAAAATAAATGGATTTTTCTACTACATCACCGAAGCTACCCAGATATTATCCAGACCTTTCCTTCTCTCCCACCTTCTCCAGACAGCAGCTAATGAAATTTGTTTTTCTATTAGTGTTAGGAAATATCTACTGTCTGCATTTATTGATACTGAAGACCAAATTTCATTAAAGAATCTGGGAAAGTCCATGATTTTTAAAGTAAATCATTTTCTTTTTCCAGGAAGGGCTTTATTTCATACTCTTCATAGACACTTCGCACTTCCAAGGCTGTCTGAGACCTGGCACCCTGAACATAAGAAATATGGTGTGTCATGAGCTGCTTTCCCCTTTTCTCCTCTGTCAAGGATGAAAGCAGTAAGGTACCAGGCAGCCAAACATCTTGTTTGGAGAACCAGGCAGCAGGATCCTTGTATCTGGGTTGCTTAATAACTGCTTCTCTCCCTCCCTCTTTTCTTCCTTGCTGGCCTCCCACCCCCACCTTCTTCCTTTTCTCACACATCCTGCAGATCTGGGTTCATTCAGTAAAGCCTTTGCTATTGGCTTTCCAGAAAGTTGTTTTTTTTTTTTTGTTTTTTTTTTTTTAAAGGAGGATTGAGTTTTTTATTTTCCACCAGGGAGTACAACATCATAGTGCTTCTCTGCGTTTTTATGTGGTAAAAGAATGCACCATTTGAGAATGGTTTTCTAAGCCATTCTCAAATCTCACTTAGACGCCAGACCTCTACCTAAAGCCCCATCTACTGGCCTGGCGAAGGACTGAATTGGCACTAGCGAACCTGAGGGGCCTCAATGCCTAACGATTCCCTTGAAAACTTGCCATGAGCACGCGGCTTTGGAGCCTGCCATGGAAACGTGAGTGAACTCTTCAGAGCAATTTCTCATTCTCCTCCAAGCTAAGGAGAATTGGGATGAAATTACTTTTTTGCATGGTCAACCAGCTAAGCAGCAAGGGAGTCCAAGCGAGAGAGTAGAGAACATCAGGGCATCCCTGTCTCCGTGACTTAAAAGACACCTATTCTCTCGGTCCCAGGGGGAGCCCTGTGCTGCGGCGCCTTCCCGGTACTGTGGCGCACTGCGGAGCCCCAGACTGCCCGCAGCCCCGGCCCTGCTGGGCTTTCCCTGCCGCAACTGACGCCCGCCCCTGCCGCAGTCCTTCCTCCCACCCCAGTCTCTGGAGTATCTGCTGTCTGCATGGGGTGCACCGCTGGGCATCCATCACCCGCGAGCCTTTGACGCACACACGCGCGCTCCCAGACAGACTCTTCTCCTGCCCCTCCCTCCCGCCACGCCCGCCCCTCGCCGGGCTGCGTTTGCATCACTCCCACACGTAGAGGGTGACGCGGGCAGTCCAGGCGGGTCCCTCCAGCTCCGGTGACTCAGCTCCTCCCTCTCCGCCTCCGCGCGTAGCTACTGAGGTTCCCGCACGCCCACGGAGATGCTCCGTGCATCTGCGGCGGGGTGCCCGCTGCTCGCAGCCAAGTTCATCATGGTATTCCGCAGTCCTCCCGGCCTGGGCGACCCTCCACGCGCTGGAGAAAGTACTCCTAATTCTACAGCCTGGTCGGAGCGGAGCGGGGCGGGGGTGGGGGGTGGGGGGGTGTT